ATTGCTTTCTTAGATTCCTATCTTGCCTTTTTCAAGGAACCTATTTTATCCTCACGACAACCCTGTGAGCTAGATTCAGCTGGGTGTTTATGACTGGCTCGAAGTCACCAAGTGAGCTTCATGGCTGAGTCCCAGTCATTCGAAACACAAGCCTTTCACTCAGAATAGGCTTTGGGGAGCATCTCTTGATTACTTTGATTTGGACAAGCTTCTAAGATAAGCAGCCACCTGCCAAAAGCCAGTGACAATGGCAAGTTCTCAAGCACACATTGTCAGATGCTGAAAACATTGTATGTTTTCCATCCATTTCTATAAAATATTAAAATGCCATTACATGTCAACTATCAAATACTGTCTAACTTTCCTACTGTTTTTCATGCTATCCGTCAAAGACTATCCAGTGGGATTGTGGCCTCTGTCTTTCTGAGAATCCTGGGCTCTTTCTGAGCTTCTTGAGGGTTCCCCAAGAAGAGCAGCTGAAGAAGAGTTGCCCACTAGTAAGCATACTCTGCCACAGAAGTAGAAGGTTAATGTATCCCGAGTCACACAATGGCCAGCAGAGAGGCTCAGCACTAGCCCTGTGAACTGCTGGTGCTCTGCACAGCATTCCTCTACAGGCTCTGCCATAGGCAGCAGCTTCCTGGGAGATTTTGTTGTGGAATGTGTTCCGTGAATGTCAGATACATGAAAAGCACTGGGATATATCATCCCATGTTTGCTATGAGTACAGTCTAATATCAAATACCATTGCATGTTGATCATGAAGGACCATTGCAGGTCAAGTGTTAAATACCGTGGCGAGTTGATTATTAAATGGCGTCAGATCTCAGTTGACCTCTATCAAAGCTCAGTGCATGTCGAATATAGACATAAAACATTTCAGTGATAGCCCAAGATAGAGAACGGTTGGAGAATGCATGGCAGCACATTTGCCGAGGAGAAGTTTGAAAGGGCTTTTGGGAAGCGACTTCATTGCCGCTCTAAAAGAGGGTGCCTTTCAGCTTGCAAACAGTACATTCCCTTGCTTTCAAGTGGCTGGATTATCACGCAACTGCAACAAATCAGGCGGGAAGGACAGATGAGCAGGGCAGGTGGTGGGGCTGCCAGGCAAATTTGAACCCTGCTCTTTCTGGCTGGAGCGTCTGGGGGTGCGTGTGGTGAAATTCGTATGGGCTGACCAAAGGATCTGCAGAAACACTTGTTGCCATGCACACAACCTAGAACAAAAGGTGCCTACAGTGGCCGTGTGGGTGGGGACATTCTTTCCTTGCCCATTTGAGATGTCTACCTCCCACCCAGGCTACAGTGCCAATGGGGCAGAGTGCTCATTGGTCGGCCACTGTGCATGTTTTCTCTGGAGGGATGACGAACGCTGCTGCAGCACAGAGCAAGAGCTACACAGAGGTGGTGCATGTTGCACGAACGACCTGCCCTCCATGCACACCAGTTGGGCACTGCTCACACTGACTGGGTAATGTGTGAAATCCCGCTAACTTCTGCCAGTGGGCAGATCCTCCCTGCACCTTGAAATGAACATGCACAGAACATGTTTCTACACATTCAGTCCACATTAAGCCTTGATAGTGCCATGTCTCTATTTGCATCCTCAGCGGGGCTCTGGCAGTGAAGTAGAGAAATCCCTAGACTGAGTGACTCTCCAAATATACGCTCCAGTGCCAGGCAAAATGCACTTGCAGGGCTCCTGGACCGGTTGGCTTTTGCCTGCAGTGCTCTCTATCCATGCCACTGAATTGCAGCTTGGAATGCACCCAAAAAGAAGTACATAGGAAAAGCTGTCAGTGGGTGATACAGTCCCAATGAACTCCTTGAAATGACGTCCATGACAGCGGTTACTCGTCTGCCCTACTAAAAGTCCACTTGTAAGCAGGTGTATCAGTCTGTCTTTATATTGGCACATGAATTTTGGGGAAGGCTCCTTGTCAATCACGTACAGTGCAAATGCGAGCGCTGCATCTGCCAAACAGGGACAGGGCAGGACATAACACCTGCGTGGATTTACACATACAGAAAGAAAGAATAGGAAGCAGGAAGGAACAGAGTGCCCTGAATTCGCTTAGTAAACTTTCTCCGCAGAACTGCCTCCTCTTCCTCTGCGAGGAGGACCTAAGCCCACCGCCAAGGCAGCCTGTGTTGCGTTGCTCTGATCGCGTTTTGTTTGTGTGTTTGTTGCCAGGGAAGGGGGGAAAGACAATACAAGCTGGCAGTAACTTCGTACCTCTGTGTTGATTTGTTTTCCCTCTGCGGGTGAAAAGAGCGTGATTTACCCTGACTTTGTTTGGTGACGCGCCATTCTAGCAAGGATAAACACGCCGGCCCAGATCCGCTCTCCTAGCGCCAGCTTCCCTTTAGGAATCGTGATCACTTTTCTAGTTGAGTTTTCTATGTGATGCTTTCTATAGTTTTCTGTGTGAAAGCGAAGAAAAGAAAGGAGAAAAAGGGAGGAAAGAAGTACTAAAGGAGCGTCAGAAATCCGACGGACAGAGGCTTAATACAACCCTAGGAAGACTCGATTCCTGAAAGCCGCTGGCGAATACTTTTGCTCTCTGTGTGTGTGTGTCTAAAAGAGAGAGAGAGAGAGAAGTGGGGCAGACGTTTGTGAGAGAGTCATGTGCATATCACGCGTGTGTATCTGTGCCCGTGCAAAAAAAAAAAAAAAAAAGGAAGCAAAGAGAACGTGGAGAGAGATGCGTTACACAAGTGATACTTCAGTGTCTGAGGGGAAAGTGCGCGTGTGTGAAACTTTCGCGTGCGAGCATTTAGCAAACTATTCCATTCCCCCGCATGACGGGTTTATTTTAATTTTTCTCGTCTTCTCTCTCCTCCTCCCACCTTTGAGGAATGAACGCGAGAGAAGGAGAAATTAGTTGTGGGGGATTTGGGGGGCCCCGACCACCAAGTGCACTTCCCAGTTGGTGCGCCGTGCCCTGACCGGGCGCGCGTTTCCAGCCCTACGGGCAGCCGCGGCGGGAAACAGTAACATGCCCACATGAAACAAGAAAATCGATCTAGGCGAGGGCGACCGTTCTCACGCGAGAGGGCTCTCCGTCTCTTCTTCCTCCCCTTCTGCCCGCCCCCCACCCGCCACCTCCGACCTTTTTTCGCACTGGAAGAGGGATAAAGGAAGCCCATTAGGTACTCTTAAAACTAATGGCACCCTTGGATTATTGATAAAGACGGCGCGGGAAGGAGATAAATTATCATTTTAATGTCCTTTTGAGAGTGAGAAGAGGCACTCCCGTGTCAGATAGTGACTTTCTACTTTGGTTTTACAGGCCACATGGATGCCGAGGCGTGGGAGAAGCAGAAAGGCTTTCTTTGATTTTTAAAAAAGCCATGAAGTATCTGAATAGTTATAATATTGAACTCGTTTTTAACTAAAAAAAAATATGCAAGGCGCATCTTACTATTCGAGTTACTTCTAATGCAGTTACAATCCTACCAAAACGTAGGTACCGTGGGGCTAGGGGTGTTATATGTGCCTCTGTTTCATGAGCTCACCGGGTGCAAAGCTTAAATTAAATATCATTAGGCTCTCGATGATGGGGAAACCGTACAATCTCTGCTGTAAGAAGCGGTAGCAATGAAATGTAGCAATATTGATACCTCGTTCTTCCCCCTCCCCTTTTCTTTGACAGAAACACCGACAGGGAGGGTGACAGCTGTGAGCCAAACCCTAATGAACGAATTACTACTTTGTTGGTTTTTAAAAATAGCCAATCTGAAGAACCTGTCATCGGAGACCGTAAGAAAACCGGTGCTTGAAAACGACCTTTTTGTTTCTGTGGGTGTTTTAGCCGGTGGGGACACACTCTACGAATTTAAGAGCAGGCTCCTAGTTTAACTTTGGGAAGAATCGCCGTCCAGTGGCGGAGAATGCGGAGCACGCTTCCGCGAGCGTCCAGTCAGCAGCGGCCTCGATCGTGCCCCTCGTGAAGCGGACGATGCCCCACGAGCGCTGGAGCCAGGATGCGTTTGCTCGTCTGGACGGAGCCGCCGGACGCAACAGGCTCGCACGGCCGTCCCTCGGGGACCCGAACAACGTGAAGCGCAGCCAGAGCGGCCGGGCCCGCCGCGCGGTGCTCCCGCTGCCTCGCCGCTTTCTCTTCCCGGGTCGGAATCGGTGCGTGGCTGCGGCAGCGCGGCTGCTCAACTCGCGGTGCCGAAAGAGCCGCGGGGGCAGCGGGCCGCTCGCGGGGGAGGAAGCGCTGCTGCGCGGCGCCTCCCCGTCAAACTTTGGGACGGCGCGGTCCCCGGAGGGGCAGCGCGCGAGCCCCCCGCGAGGGCTGCTGCCAAGTCGCCGCCGCCGCCGCGGCCTGGGATGCCGCGTGGCCCGAGGCGGGCGGGCGGGCTCTGGTCCCCCTGCCTTCCCCGAGGCCGCCTCCGCCGTGCGTCCCCGGGCGCTGCGCTGAGCTGAGCTGGCCCGCCGCGCCGTCTTGTGCGTTCAGTCGCAACTTTCTCCGGGCTTCCCTGGCCAAGGGGGCGGGGCGATGCTAATGAGGAGGGCGTGTCCCGCCCCCGGCCCGCCCCCGAGCCGGCCGCCGCTGCTCGGAGTTCCTCGCCGGCGATTGGAAAGCGTGGAGTGGTCGAGGAAGTGGTGACGCTATGCAAATAGAGGGGGGGCGGGGCCGGGGCCGCAGGGCGCCGCCCCCTGCCCATTGGAGCTGCTGTGCTCGTGTTTAGCTGCGGGGATAGTCAAAGTGGATTCCATTGGGAAAGACTGCAGATCACTCCGGTTCGAACGGGGGGAGCTCGGAGGGGGGAGGGGGAAAGCAGCCAAGAGGATCTCCATCCACCCAGGGTGTTGCTGCTTACCTTTCCCGGCGTACGCGCGCCGCGTGTCTTCCTCTCCCCTCTCTCTCTCTCCAGCAGCCAGCCAGCTTCCTGCGTTAGCGAAGAAAGGCAGGAGAGGAGGCGAGGAAGCCACAGGGAGAGTGAGAGAAAGAAGGAAGGAAGGAACGAACGAACGACAGAAAGAAGGAAGGAAGGAAAGAAAGCACAAATCGTTAGCTGGAGGAAAAGGAAAGAGCAAAGCCGCCAAGAAAGAGCGCGGGAGAGACAGCAAACTTGCCGCTCTCTTGTCACTGGAAAATGACACTTGATGTAGCCGAGGGCGCCGCAGCAGCAAAAGCCGCCGCCGCCGCCGCCGCTCCAGTTGATCCTATTGTTTCTTAAACTGGCTTCTTTCTTCGGCAATCCAAAAGGGGGTGACTCCAGCACGGGAGGGACCGCGGCTTCGTCCTCTGGCTCCTTGTTGTGATCCCCGCCAGCGAACAACCAAGAATCCTTTTCGCCCTTTCTCTCCTTTTTTTTGAAATAAAGATACAGAAGGCCACCCGGCCGCTCACCCTCGGAAAGGACAAGCTCATCAAGCAGCCAACACGAGCATCCGCGCCAACCCCGGGGGGTGATTTTCTTCCCCTTTGGATTTTCTCTCTCCCCCCTTCCTTTTTCTTCTTCTTCTCCCCTTCAGTGTCTGTGTTTGATTTTCTCTGATTTTGCTTTGATTCCAACAGCGGTTGCAGAGAGAGAGAGAAAGACAGAAAAGAACAGCAACAAGAACAGCACAAACTCGCTGGCGATTTTGTCCTTACCCCCCCTTTCCTTTGTCGTTGTGTTTTGTGTTGTCGCGTTGTGTTTTGTTTTTAAAGACGAAGGGAGGGCTTGGGTCGTTTTGATTCATGTTTGGGATTCAGGAAAGCATCCAGCGGAGTGGGAGCAGCATGAAGGAAGAGCCCCTCGGCGCGGGGATGAACGCGGTCAGGACCTGGATGCAAGGCGCCGGCGTCCTGGACGCGAACACGGCCGCGCAGAGGTACGTGCGGCTCGCCGCAGCATCCGCCGCTGCCGCTTCCCCTTCCCGGCCCTTCCCGGCGCACGAGCCCCGGAGCTCCGGCGGGCGGGCGGGCGGGCGGCCGCCCGGCCCCGCAGGACTTTCGCGGTGAGGGCTCCGAGGAGCGGCGGCTCGGGCAGCCTCCCCATCACTCTCGATTATTTCCGACTGACTGCTGGGGCCCCGGGGGTGCGCGAGGGGAGGGTCTTCCTGCCTGCTTTCCTTCCTACCCGCCCGAGACACATTTCGCGTCTGCCGCTCCAACTTTCACTTTTTTGCTCCCGAAGAGCGCGGAGGTTTGCAGGGATGCCTCCAAAAGCGTCTTCGCTTCCCATCCCTCTCCCGCAAACTTTCCCGTCAAAAAACAGCACATGGCTTTGCCTAACAGGCATTTCCTGCGT